TGGTAAACGATTGTGTCCACATCGTCCTCTTTGGTCTTTTCCATCTTCGCGGGTACCCAGGGTAGCGACGTCGGCCTAAATAAATGCAGTGGCCCCGGCGTGGTTCAAGACAACATACCGGGGCCCTCAACAAGCTCTGGAGCACACCCCCAACGCACCGGCTCTCTCGACTACAGCGATCCTTCAATAAGCATCGAGTTCTGAATTGCCAGTGGTTCGATGAGAGAATCGTTCAAGCCTAATGCGCAGTTTGAAGCTAGGCCTTCTGATCTTTCACTCGCATGCCTCTAGCTTCGCATGCATTTTTGTGGTGCTATACACTGATCATTTTTACTTCTGCTTGTTGACTGATACGAGAAAACAGACAGGTGACCTTATAATATGGGGAACACAAATTTTGGTTGGCTCATGACTCCCCAATTTAGCCTAAATCTGGCTAATAGGCCATGTTGAATTAACCTCAGTAATGACACCAGTCTTGTCATTTTTATTGTCTTTGCTTTTAGTCGTGGGTCACAGTTTCACCACCTGACTACGTTAGTTGGCAGAACACCGATGAGAACACCAAACATGGGGTCTATGTGAGTTGTAAAACCTCCGAGAATAGCCGAGTTTACTATTTAAAATGTTGTTGCGGTCTTTTGTGGTTTTGGAAAGATCACATGCCAATTTTAAGAACACCAAACGACAAGTCTACATGAGTTACAAAATCCCTGAGCGTATTTTGTGACCCTGCATTCATGCGAAGTCCAACATGGAAAAATACTTTCAAGTCAAGGAAATCAATTTGATGCAATCTTGGTGACCACAAAGGGTCTTATGAAACGTGTAGTAATTGGTGTAAACATGTTGGAAGTGACCAGCCGCGCCCCGGATAGCAGCCGCGAAAGTTTGACCATGTGGAATCCCAAGGTATACTGGATGGCTACTAAACGCTGGCTCAATAAGAGCTCGCAGTTCAGTTAGGGGTCACCCAAACAGCTGTTTCCTAACGTTTGCACAAATTGGAAAACTACGTATGAATACGTGCTGTTCAACACTTGCTCGCCGGCTACAAAAAGGACTTCCTGTAGAAAATTGAGACATTCGATGAAAAACACATTTTTCGTGTGAAACTCACAGGTACAAATCAGGTGGCAGGTCCAGGGCAGCGCGGTACACCGACGCCGAAGCAGTGCATCCACTTGAAGAAGATATCTGCATCGGTGTATCTGGTGGGACCTGAAGGGTGTAACTTATTTCGAACTCCTAGAAACTGGCTGTCAGCCGGTCACTGCTGAATGCTACAGCCGCCAACTAAACGAGCTGACTGAAGAAGGTGACCAGAAAGGGTCATTTATTGGGTAAGGAAGCAGGCAAGTTGCAGTGCTGCTGCAGGACAACGTTCGACCACACCACGTTGCTTGCGCCACCCCGCAGACCCTCTTGAACTTGGGTCGGTAAGTTCTCTTACACGCGGCAAAGTCACTACACTTTGTTTTATCCGATAATCAGTTATTACGGCCACTGCAGCAGCAGCACGCCCTAGTTTAATAAACAGAGTAAAATGCAGGATGTTGAACGAACACTTATTGCCTTGAAACCTGCAAGTTTCTTTCGCGAAAGCATTCGTTCGTCACCTGAGAAGAGGCACAAAATCATAGCAGAAGATGGAGAAGATCAACTTCGTTGCATTCTATATTTGGTGCAAATGCATTGGCCTCAAAATTTATGAAAAACAACTCATGCCACTAATAGTTTGGTCCTCACGTTTAATCCGCTGGAACCTGATTTCAGACGTCCACAATGTAGCAATCGTCTGAACGCACTGCCTGTGAAGGTCATTTACTGCCCACGAGAGAGCCGACCCCCTGAACTTGGCTTGTCTGTCACAGCCTGTTCTTCACCAACTGTTCTACCTCCGCGGAAGTCATGACAACTATTTACCAAGTAATTTACGCATCACGCAAATGACGATAGCAGGTATCAGCCGTTCTTGTCATCTCTTCCCCATGTGATCAAGTCATGTCACAGCACTGTGAAAACGAAACACAGACAGTAGCCTCACAGCAAAATATGCTGACTGTCCCAAGGGTTTCTTAACTTAGAGAAAACTCACAATTCGCCTTTCATGCATGTAAAATGTTGTCATTCTCCAACCAAAAATTCTGTAACAGAGATTGGGACCAAACCGAGTTTCTGTTGTGACATTCTTCTAGCGAGCAGCAAGTGAGGACAGTTAGCAAGCATGAGCGAACACGATTCAATCGATTTACGTGAATGCGCTGTAGTGGACAGACAGCCACCCGATTGTACCAATGACTCACTCTTCCTTGTCATTGGCTCCTGTTACTCATGCGCACATAAATCTACTTGGCTGGAGTGACACTAATAAACGGTCGTGTTCTCTGTCCCCTTCCACCCCCAATCTTCTCGGGTTGTGAACTGTTAACTAGAGGGTTGCAAAGTCGTGCGAAACTCCGCCACTACACTCTATTCACAACGAAATCTGTGATAGAGGCGATTAAGATTATCGAACCCCGTTCTGAATATTGTAAAGTATATGCTTACAATCACCCACACTCTGTTCATGCCAACGCCAAAATGGTGCCGCTCTTGTTGATCAGCTTAAAGTACAACTAAAGCACAAGGTGCAATTTGGTGCCCATTAAGGTAATTCCTTTTGTATGCTTACTCAACACCGCTACGCTCGATGCTTTGATCGGCATTTGAACGGTGGTGCCAAATGCTCTTGAAAACACACCCAGTGCACCAGGACCAAAGAAACACCGAGTTGTGAGTTGTAGTGATTTCAACCAACGCACGAAATAGGCGTTTTGTAATTACATGCTTCGTTATTAACAGGAAATTAGTGACAAACCAATAAACCGGAATGATTGTCCAAGCAAACTATGATGAATTTCGATGGGTCGTCGAAATGCAGACTCGTCAAGAGAATTGTCTAATTTGATCTACGAAAAGGGATGCCCAGAATTCCATTTTGTAAATACATGCCTTCAAAGTGTCTACTGAATGGCCAGAATGTCACGGCACGCTGGTAGGTAAATGGATACCAAAAAGTAAATTTGACACCGAAGAAAACAAGATAATTGGAAGTACCGCCATGGATCCAGGTGGTGAAGTCAAGTGCTCTCTGTTCGCTGATATCCACAAAGAAGTGCTCTGCATCACCCAAACTATTCACGACTGCACTTCGAGCTTGACTTATTGTGGCATATGGCCCAGATTCACTAAAATACAGATTGATTTAATTGTAAAGGTAACTGAAAATGCGTATAGGTAATTGCCAGTTAATGATGCCTTTGTGAAAGCATCATCCCCACATAAAAGTGCATGCTTTTGATATCTTAATGACTTCGGCACGAAGGGTGCAATAAAGCAGATGCAAAAATGCTCAAAATATGATCCACACTGAAGCAAAGTCGGTTCAGATTTTTATCGTCAAAAGGTCAGCAAAATCGCGCACATTCAATTCAACCACTTACTGAGTACGAGATTATGGATTATTATTCCCCTGTGGTAATTGAAAAATGGTTGTGGTATGAATTGCATTATAGAAAGGCATAACGAGCCACCTGCATCAACACCCACGCTCTGATCGCAATGGGGAAGGCAAGCATGTCCGGCAAACGTCAACAGGCAAAAAATGCCTTGGCTTGTCTCCCGATTGAGTTGGAACTTAGACATGCTTAAGTGGCATGCAACACCTGTTAGATGTCAATATTGTGGTTAGGCTTTTGCTATGCAAAGGACAACTAAAGTCACATTTTGCCCATATTCCGCATTGGCACCTGCTATCGAATAGGGCAAAATTGCTTTCCGTATTCTTAACAAGTAATTTTACAAAGTCCTATCATTTGGCATAATTTTAAGGTTTAGTGCTTATCCATAGCATTACAGCTCAGATTTGGGCAACGGTACCTCCGCCTATGAGCCTACCTATCTGCTGAGTCCAACGCAAACTCAAAAGCACCCAATAGAACAAGACCATGGCAGGTGACCCGTAAGAACCTCAACATGGCTTCTAGTGTAATATTCACGTATTTGTGAAGGCCATGCTTTGAGTAATCGCATTGCAGGGCATACCGAATGCGCACAGGATAAAACATCATATCGTCTTCTTTATTCACGAAACTCCGAGGGTGCATGCTTTCCCATAGCCTTTACTGGTGATCTAATCACTAAAAATGACACAGTGCAAGCGTTGAGAGCGGAACTGTGTTGAATGCATCGTCCCAATTCGTGGTACTTATTTGCACTACACCAATATACGAAGTTGTCCTCGCTATAATTTTCTTTAGAGTTATTTAAAATGATGGAAATCAGTTCATACATTACTGTAGCAGCAGCCACGTAACGCAGGTTGTTCGCCTTGTGAGTGATTGTGATAAAGTCTGCTTCCGTTTCTGTCTAGTGAAATGCAGCGATTGTGTTCATAACTATCGAAAATTTTGCAACCTTGGTTAAACACATTGCTTCAATTAAACTTCACAGGTAGCAAGCCCACTATGTTTCCTATTTGCTAAATCATCGAGGTTGTGCATGGAAATGCTTCCCAGACTGGTGTTATTCCAACCAATATTGCCCAGTAGTAAACTCTTGAAAAGACCTCAGATGCATCACAGAAAATAATGATCAAACAGGCGAAGACCATTAACAGACTAAAATGTCGAATTGCAATGGAATTAAAGTACACGATCGGCAGTAACTAAGAGCCTCTTTACACTTGACAAAAGGGGTCACCGCAAGCACAAGAAGCACTAGCCCACGAATACACCTCAGTGATACTTGAGAGTGCAAGCGGCACAGCCATTACAAAGCCATGCGGTTGACATCAGCCATCGTAGCATCTCTTGACAAGGTGCCGCTCAATGCACTTCCATTGAAACCGGCGTATAAAAACAGATAGCAGTGGCCTCGCAGATCAGCACTTCAACATGAGGTTAAGTTTTTTGTGTGTCCTTGTAGCTCTCGCCTGCCTGTTAGCTGCGAATTCAGCTATGGCTAGCGTAATAAGTGATCGGCGTGTTAAGGATAAGGAGGATCAACAGAGCATGAAGGAGAGTCATGAAATTGGCACTTCACCGGGCACTGGCGATCTTGAAATTCTGAACACTAAGCAAAGTGCAATTGGGAAGAAGCACCTTCACGGAAAACAGATGCTGCCATTCTATTTGCTCAACAAGCATTTCCAGGAAAAGCAGATGTTTCCACCTGAATTGGACAAGAAGCACCTTCACGGAAAACAGATGCTGCCATTCTATTTGCTCAACAAGCATTTCCAGGAAAAGCAGATGTTTCCACTAGAATTGGAAAATGATGACTACTACATTGACGACAACTATGACGACGACTACCATGGCGCAATGTTTCCTTCTCAGTTGGACAAGAAGTATTTCAACGGAAAGCAGACATTTACATTCCCATTTAAGGAGAAGCACCTCCACTAAAAGCAGATTCTTCCACCCCAGCCAGAGCACACATCCCCTCCAGTGTAATCTGTTCTAAGAAGCAAGCCTTAACACTCTACTCTGGTAGCGCTTCCATTTCATGCTAGTACAAGTCAAACATTCGACTACCGTTAGATCAATATTTAAGAAGCTTACGCTGGTCGAACTCTCCGTAGAATAATTTTGTGTTTCGAAATACTAAAATAGTTTCGCAAATGGTTGTTTATTGATTTTTCAACATTCCGCAATCATATAAGTGGGATTTTCTCCAATGGGTTCGAAAAAACTTTGGTCATGATTTCCAATTGTTATTTATTTTCAAAAGGGGGTATCCAGTGATGATTCCTGTGGCTGCACAACGTACACTACATGAAATGCAGCCCAGCTAACTTGATTTAAAGAAGGCCTTTATGGCCAAGGTGACATGTTCACGCAATTCATTCTGTAGACAAGAAAGCAGCCAGTCCACATTGCGTCAAGTCTTGCAAAATTACTGACATCATTACGAATTTCCCCCGTGTTTCTCCCAAAGCTGTCTCACTCATCCATTCAAATCGCTAAAGAACATTAGCATGATTTCAAGGTAGCAGATGATGCGCTTGATCAAAATAGTCTCTCTCCACTGTAAGACCAGTCAGTATTTATTTTAGTTCAAACACTGAACGCTGACAGAAAGAAGATGAGCAGGCATTATGTGAAAAATTGCAGTTCAGTATTATTACGCAGCTACATTGAGCTAGTCCATCCGGATTGAATATATATTATACTCAACTTCTAAACAAACGGCACGTTTAGAAAATTAAGGGCTTTCTCCAAAAAGTGTAGGCAGTGCTGGTTGAGGTCGCTTTACTGCATGCTCGTTTTAATTGCGAAGAATATTCTAACCTGGACTCACATCGACAAAACAAGGCAACTGAATATGAGCCCTAATCTTCTTACACCACTCCAAGTGTCTTTATGGGGGTTACGCTGGACTCAAATGTAGCGCTGTGTTTGGTTAATAAGGCTGCAGGTTACGTTAATTGAACACCCGTTTCCTGACATATTCATCTTGTTCAAATAAAAAGCATCTGTGTAACTCAGTTGAAAGTGAGTGCTCAAAGGATTATTTTGCACAGCTTCTTTGCAGATGTGCGTCCAGCCTATCAGTGTTGTGCCACTGTGGCAGGAATTAACACTTTGGTGACGCCTAAATTAGATGCTTGTTCCTGAGACTAAAGTGGTTGAGAAAGTCAGTGAGTCACCGCCAAGATAGTGAAGACACAACAAAATTGGCGTCGTTGTCCGAAGTCGAGTTTAAGAGATTTTTGACCGTATTTGGGAACGGGGAAACCGAGGGCGGCTGAGAAAACAGGGGAGGGTTTAGGGGATTGTTTTGCAGTGTGCGTTGGATGAACAACGGACATGCTGGCTCCTGAATCGATCATCTATTCCATACCAATTGACGTGTCGAATAATTAAAGGTGGCGGTTTCAGTAGGCATTGGCAACCGACGCCACTACTAGCGGACATTCTTGTTTCCGACTGTGTGCACGAGTCTGAACCTGCGTGACTACATGGTGCCTAAACTGTCGGACCTCGCCCACGAAGGTTTCGTGGTACCAAAAAAGATGTCAAGACTGTGATAAAGCAGAGAACCTATGACGAGACCGCAAGCGATTACGCCTAACTAAATTGTCATATCCTCTGCCTGGAGTATGTCTGAATGACGCGGTATCAATTGCCATCTTAATCTTGACTAAGGAGTCTTTCATTTCAGGGAGGTCTTGGGAGAGTATATTCAGACGAAGTTACATATCATTGTTTTTGAGATGCAGTGTTAATTTTGAAGACATGTGTGGACTCGGTTGCTTCTATTATGAGGTCCGCAGTGTCTGCCAATTGCTGAAAGGTTAACTTTTCGGCAAATAGAGTCGCGACTGGTTGAACGGCGAAAACGCTCTGCGGAAGTCGCCATTCAAGATGTCATAGTTAGAGATCTGATGCATTCTCCACAGAATCTAGGTCGGCTTTAGGTCTCGTAACACATCACGAGACATGAGCTGTTCTTCGTTTCTGGATGTCAAGAGCTGCATGCGCTTGGTGATTTCCGATTTTAAGTGGTCATAAGGTGCTTCCATGTCGGGGCGGAGCAGTACATCCGATGTTTCTGATTAACAGAGGCAGCAGTCAGCCTCTGTCTGTGTTGTTACACTTTGACATGATTTAGCACTTTGAGTTGACAAAGCAGGCTTTTATAAGACCACTGGACAATGTCGTCTATAGCTAGGACATGCACAGTTTTCCAGAACGAAAGGTGATCAATTCCAAGAAAGAGATTGGACATTTGATCTTGCAACTTGGTAACGCCTAAATTGTGCGTGTTGGGCGCTGCACCAGGGGTGATGGCTTGCATTCCAGTTCCTTGATATAGGCACGCGTTTATTTTAACTGCCATTTCCACAGCCGTCTTCAGCTGTAAGTCAGTTGGCTGGAACGAGATGATTGCAGGCCTGTTTGCTGGAAGGCATTCGGCCTATGATTGCAGTAGAACTGAGTCATCGAATATGTTTACCCAAACACGGCGCCGCATTTCCGAAGTTAAAGTGACAGGAGATACAGGAATAGAGATGTCAAAGAAAAATAAGAAGAAGAAGAAGAAGCGAAACAGTTCGATGGATAGCAGCGCAAAAAGCGAACGAAGCTAGAGTCAAGGGAGTGAAAGCGCAGAAGTGCCACACTCAATAAAAGTGCTTTCTCGCGCCAGGTGAACATGTCTAACGTGTTCGTTTCCCGTGGCCAAGCAAGACTTGTGAAGCAGTGGTGTAAGCACCTCACAAACTCAAACCTGAGCTACAAAAAGCATCCATATTATTAGCCAAAAGAAAAGGCACCACCATCGTCGCCATGGTAACGCTGCACCACTTGTCGATGCGTAGACATTGCAACGGCTTCGGGAGCTAAAATGGGACTACCTACAGTATCACCAGTCATGTTACGCATACCCTAACCAATCACATTTCCATCTGATTCGTTCTATGCAAAGTAAATTGAGCTGCTTACGTTCTCATTGTGTAGAAGAATTCAAATGACACCAATAACTGCTGCTAACTAAAGAGGCGATCGTGCACGCCCCTTAGGAGCCCACTTTAAATTTGTACAACCAATCGCGTAGACCTTGTTACCTCTTGAATTTTCAAAGCATTCCCAGCTAGGTGAGTTTATATTAGCCGAGAATCAAAGTGCCGATTGTACTGAGTGAGCACACTCCTATCGGTGATCAGTCACGGTGGCGTTTAATCGGTACGCATAAACACACACACACACACTTTAACCTGTTATGCATTTTCACTAGTCGTTCACACTTTGTTTTATCACGAGTTAGAATTCAAAGTTCACCACTGTACTCGACTCTTTGCGTTTCAAAACTACGTCATGAATGGATCTAAGCATCCGTTTTTGGAGTAAATGAGTGTTCTTAGAAATATTTTGCAAACAGATGTCAGAGAAGAAGAAAAGGCGAAACTGGTCGATGCACAGCAACATTAAGTCGAACGAAGTGAAAGAGCAGAATCGACACCAACGTTAGAAGTGAGCTGTAGACATTCTTATTGCGTTCAAGAACTCAAAAAACAGCAATAAGTGACGAATGTGAGATGCATGGAGGTGGTTAGAGGAAATGAAAGGGGAAATATTGCCTCTCACCTCTCCAATCTGTGAAGTCAGTTGCGCTTCTCAACACTTGACCAGTGAGGCCATCGCGATGCAGAAATGCGCTTTGAAATCAGTGCGTTCGGCGAGCGGCGCTTCACCACGAACTCACCTCGATGGTACTTGAGAGTGCAAGCTGCTTAGAAATCAGAAGGTCCCCTGGTTGACATCTACCTTGGTGGTACAGCATGACACAAAGCCAATGAATGAACGCATATGCTGTTGGGGTATAAAAGCGGCTGGCAGTGGCCTCACACATCACCATTCCAGGATGAAGTCGCTCCTTCTGTGTCTACTTCTCGCTCTCGTCTGCCTGTTAGCTGTGAATTCAGCCACGGCCAGCATGATGCGCAGACGTATGTTGATGTAGAGAATGCCAGAGGTGAAGAGCATGATGGATGATGATCATGATATCGCCGTCATGGACTTGATGAAGAGAATGCCAGGGGAAGAGAGCATGTTGGGTGATGAAGATGAAGATGACAACACCGACATGGAATCGATGGAGGAGAAAGCGCTGAATGGTGGCGCCCCCGCTGTAGCCAGGCTAAACATGAGAAAAAAGTAGAATAGAAGTAACAAGCTGAAGAAATTTCTCGAAGGGTTACAGAACGAGAGTGGTTCGACGGATTGAATCAGACGGTATTTTGGGGGTATTAATAATTTGAATTGAAAGCTGCAAACCCTTCGTTATTCTTCATTTCATTAGTAACCGCTTGCTACATTTAAAATAGACTAGTGTTTTGTGATAACGTTTTCCTTCTTCGTGGTTCATTGATGTTACGGGGATCGCATGGAAAGGTGGTGTTGCGATTCGGCATTTAGCGTTGTTGTAAGGAAGTTTGACTTTTATGGAGGGTGATTCGTTGCATTCACAAACGAGGTGCACAAAAGCAGGGTTCAATTTTTTCTGAGGCAACATAGCTTGATCCTCGGAACGTCATGTGACAGGTGGTGTCCAATGCTGTCGAACACACATCGAATGTACCAGATCCATCGGCGGGTGAATGCCCTCCAACAAGCAACGAATTCTCAGATACTGGAATTTCTGTCAATCCAACAATCAGTCGTTGTCGAATTAGATGTTTTCAAAGAATCTGGCGGTGTTGGTGAATGTTACTCAGAGCGCATCACAATTTCGAGACGACCAGATGGTCCCTACCATGGACGAATTCTACACGATTAAAGTGGTTATCTACGCTTGCGCATTACCTCAATGTGCTTGATAATAGTGGCGATGAAGGCACAGTTGACATTGACGATGTAAAGAAACACGAGGGAAAATGAGGATGCTGGCGCCAATGAATGTGAAGATGGTGACGAGATGAAACACGCCTCGAGTAAATCACTGCATGACGAGACTCACGACTGCAGCAATTATTCTGACGCAAGGAATGAAGAAGCAGCAGGTGCTATTACTGATTATGACGATCAAGTGGAAGAGGCGGAGTGACAAAATATGCAAAGGATGATGGTGACTACGATGACCCTTGAATAAGCACACCTCACATTGGCATCGAACTGGCCAAAGTTGATTGAGCCGATCGACTGCAATACGCGATTGCTTATTAGCCTGGATCAGACAAAATGCATTTTAGGAATTCGTGTTGATTCATGTCCAAAAACCCAGTCCTCGCAGCTTCCAGCACACGTCCCCCCTTTTCACGACCTGCCCGTCAGTCACGTGAAGCCACCGGTTCATTAACCACTCTGCGTGTCCCACCACCACCCGTTTTAGTCATGTGACCTCACAGACACCTGTGTTTATTTTTATACATGTCCACTCAACCGTAATTGTACACGACGCAACTCTGGTGAGCTGTCTAGTGAACGGTTGTGCCTTCTCCATTCCGGTCTTCTTTATTTTCGCGGGAACACAGGGTAACGTATTCGGTCTAGATTCTCGCAGTGGCCCGGGCGTGGTTCAAGACAACCTCAACAGCATCTTGTAGATTGGCAGATAGTTAGGCCTGTCGTATACACTAGTTTGAGGGTGGTGAACCTCAACACATTTTGCTCATCAAGCTTCAAATTCAAAGTGACACAAGTCAAAATTGATTTATCGTGTTGTGGGTCACAGCTTGTGGTCTTGAAACAAGTTGACGTGGGCCACTGAGTCGAAGGGGTAGACGCAGTAAGGTAAGGAAGTTGGAAGTGTGGAGGTATTGGGGTGGAACGTAAGTCAATGGTTGAAGTGCAGCATCAAATGGAAACGTTGTCTGGTGGCGATTACCGATTCACACTGTTCACGAACTTCTACCACGTGGCCTAACTTGACTTCACGAGAGGTACTTTGAAGATCTCACGCGACACAGGGCTGAATCGATACTGGCCTATCACCATGCTTTTTTTCATGCAAACAGCAAACGAAATTTCGTCCAGGCAATTATAATCTGCAATCTCTTTCCTTGCTACAATAGCTAAACTTACAGCTAAAATAGAAGCTGGATTTTGAAAATGCTGCAGCGGGCTGGCGTTGAGAGTGCTCGAAACATTATCGTCTACGGTATGCGAACAGAACTTGATTTCACGTTGAGCATATTTGGCCACTCCAGCAGATGCGCAGTTGTGCTACTTTTAGTCTGCCAGTCTTGACTACTGTACAATATCCAAGTCGGCCCGTGACACACTCTCAACTAGCATCCTGCACACCTCAAAAACTGACGGGAGCAACGTGGTAGCGACATCCGCTCGCCCTCACAATTATTCAATATTACAAATTGCCTTGAAGAAATCTGAAAAGGTAGTTGATGGACAATATGGACCAAGATCGTCATAACATGTTGGGCTAGGACAGGAGCGCATAGAAACCATAGAAGGGAAATAAGTGGAGTACCGTCGCTGAAATCCACTTATGTCGATTTAGCGCCCTCGATGGCCGTCTCTCACGAACTGTGAGTTTATTGTTCGTCTATGAAAGTATGTCCACAAGTGAATAACTTTGGAGGCATTAAATGCTGACGAGTTTCTAAAGCTCCAAAGGACATCCAAATTACCAGGAGATTTTTAAAGGAGATTTTATAACACAGCACGTACTTGGCCATATGCAGCAAGTCCATCACGTGGACGTGACCCGAAAATACTCAAGATTGCAGGACTTTCTTTTGGTTTTCCTCCACCTAAACTCATGCATCTAAGTTCTTGGCAAACAAGTCAAGGTTTGAGAATTGTTGAGCTTATTGTTTGTCCTATAAACTACTTTATTCCCAGCACAACAGTGAAATATCTTTGTTGCTACAGCCGACAACTGAACAAGCTGAATGAAGAAGGTAACCAGAAAGGGTCATTTATTGGGTAAGGAATCACGCAAGTCACAGTGCTGCTGTATGATTTTTTCGTAATCGTCTGAACGCATTTCCTGTGGAGGTCATGTAGTGCCGATGAGAGAGCCGACCTTCTGAAATTAGGTCTTCTGTCCCAGCCTGTTCTTTACCGAAGGTTCTACCTGCTCGGAATTCGTCGACAACTACTTTCCAAGAAATTTGCACATCACACAATTGAAGTTGGCAGGTACCAACCGTTCTTGCCATCTCTTCCCCATGTGATTGCGTCATGTCACAGCAGTGTGAAAACGAAACAGATACAGTAGCCTCACAGTGAAATATGCTGACTGTGAAAAGGAAATACTGTGAAAACTGATTGAAGAAGGTGACTAGAAACGGTTATTTTTTGGGCAAGGAAGCAGGCAAGTTGCAGTGCTGCTGCATGACCACGCTCGACCACCTCACGTTGCTTGTGCCACCCAGCAGACCCTCTAGAACGTGGGTCGGTAAGTTCTCTAACACGCGGCAAATTCACTAGACTAGGCTTTATCCGGCTATCATTTATTTCGGCCAGTGCAGCAGCAGCAGCAGCAGCAGCAGCACGCCTTAGTGGATAAACAGAGTAAAAGGCAGGATGTTAAACGGAAAATTATTGCCTTGAAACCTGCAAGTTCCTTTCGCGAAAGCAGTCCTTCGTAGCCTAAGAAGTGGCAAAAAATCATAGTAGAAGATGGAGAAGACTAAATTCGTTGTTCTCCATTTTTTATAGTATGAATGCATTGGCCTAAAAATTTATAAAAATAAATTCCAGACGTCCACAGTGTGGTAATCGTCTGAACGCACTGCCTGTGAAGGTCATTTACTGCCGACGAGAGAGCCGACCTTCTGAACTTGGCTCTTCTTTCACAGCCTCTTCTTCACCGACGACAACTATTTCCCGAAAAGCTACGGATCACGCAAGTGGAGGTAGCAGGCACCAGCCGTTTTTGTCATCTCTTCCCATGTGACAACACTGTGAATACGAAACACAGACAGTAGCCACAACGACCCACAACGAATTCATTATATCCAATTCAAGTTGAGAAGTAGCGTATCTAACAATTACCCATTGGCCTATGTAACCATTGCTTGCCTTTTTCATTGCCAGAGCAGGGATTGGCAACCAGACCAAGTTCCAATCACTTTGTCGGACAACTTTCTGTTATCCATCCATTGAAACATTACCGCTTCCGTAGCTATTCAAGTATTCGTCACCTAGTCGACAAAAGCTGAACCAAGTTTTATTTCGGGTCTTTGGGATTAACCTGAATGCGAAGTTAGCAACCAATGTTATTTCCTTAGGTGAGTGGCTGGAGAGTAAAAAGTGACTTATTTAAATGCAGCAGTGTTTTCTGGCAGGTCGTTTGTGTTACGTTCGACCGTAACCAGGACAACACCCACTCATATAACCAGCACCCAGATTCCTTGTCTGACCACATTAGAGCCGGCCTTCCCACGCTAATGACAGACAAGATTAGACCTCGTGCAAAGATCTTTAATTGCTTAATGCGCTGATGTGGCACGCCTAGGCTATTGGTATAAGAAATGACAAAATCCAGCCATAAGCCAACTTGGTTAACCCTGCATCCCCAACAGTTTACTACAGCGGTAATTCGAGATTTAATAACAGACATCTAAGCCTCGATTTCATGATCTGAGTCTTCGACGGTCATCTTTTCTTCGGCGTAAATGGTGCGCTATTTCTTGAAAAACCAGATCTTTGTTTATCACAAGGCTTTGCATGTTGCGTGCAGCTAGTCTCACAGCTCGCCAAATAAGGTGCACATGTTATTGACAATCCTTTAACCAGTCATTTGATACTCCTATTTCCAGTAGGCAGATTATTGTCCCTCACCCACAACCGAGGTGCCAATTCGTTCCACTAGATCGATGTTTACCAATGACCACTAGCACAAGAAATCGGACTACCTGCATTCCGAACACACAAATCACGGCCACTTAGGCCAATGGGCTATTGTCTAAATGTAAGGATACTAATATGTGGATATCAATGTTGTATATTCATAAGCAGACACGATCGGTTTAGAGGAGGCATTCTAGGGCAGAGCAGGTTTTCATTCAAAGAGGCCGCACAGAATTGGACCGGAAACGGCACTTTGAGCAAATTATTCAGAAAATTCGAAATTTTGACTAAACTACGAAGGTCACAAAGACAATGTGACGATGACTGATATTTCGTCCCATCAATACCCATTGCGGTGGTCTCCAATCTGGCACCCTTCACTGCATGCTGTCTTTCTCCAAAACGCTCTTCTCGCTTAAGCCGCTCATCTGGCTCATCTGTCCTTTTTTCCTCCATAATTGCAGCAATTCTTCATCTACATCCAAATAGTGCATGCTGATCATGCGTCCAGCAATTGCGATTCCGTTTCCGATTACTTTCGCTGCCAGTATCCTTCACACTCTCCCTAAACCAAAAACGGCTGTTGCGTTACCGTAGCTGGTCGTCTTTCATTCATGAAAACGATTGGAAGTGCCGTATTATATTCGTGGTAGATGGATCGCAGATGCGCAACACTTACGAGCTACTGCCACGTGACCAAACAACGCATGTGGAGAAGTGCTGTGAGAAGTTCACCCAAATCGATGCTGAACATGCAATCAAGGGAGCATCGTCATCCTCGCCATGGCAACACGAAACCACCTGACACTCATTCCGACGATGAAGCCCACAATACGGTCAGTGCAATATCAGTAGTTTACATAAATGTGGCTTGTTCAATATGATTTCAGGTGGAACACGACCTCTTGTAAATGCGCAGTCAATAGAACTCAAATGGGGCAGAATTACGTCATTTATCGGTAACCATCACGCCCTAGACATACGAAAACACTGTGTCAGGCACCATTCCTACCGTAACATAACTGACTCTGTTGGGAGTAGATCAGGCCTTGCGGAAACATCCACGATATCATGATTGTCAACTAGCCGATGTTCAAATCTCTAACACAAGTGATCCTCTAGCACAAGTTCAGTTGCGCGTGAAAGAACGCCATCGGCAGAAATCAAGTGCCTTTAAACTCTTGACGAATGAGGCCAGTGTAAATGAGCTATGCACTTTGATTTCAGTGTTTTTAGGTGGGCAGCGCTTCACCACGAACTCACCTCGATGATACTTGAGAGTGTAAGCCGCAAAGAAATCACAAGGCCCCCTGGTTGACAGCGACCTTGGTGGTACAGCGTGACATGAAGCCACTGAATGGGCGCATATGCTGTTGGGGTATAAAAGCGGATGGCAGTGGCCTCGCAGATCACCATTCAACGATGAAGTCGTTCCTTCTGTGTCTTCTTCTTGCTCTCGTCTGCCTGTTGGCTGTGAATTCAGCCACGGCCAGCATGATGCGCAGACATGTGCTGATGAAGAGAATGCCAGACAGGGAGAGCTTGGGGGATGATGATGGAAATAAAGATTACAACGACGCCTTATACTTGGTAAAGAGAATGCCAGAGAGGAAGAGCATGATGGATGATGATGAAGTTGAAGATGACGACGTCCCCTTGTACATGATGGAGAGAATGCCAGAGAGGAAGAGCATGATGGATGATGAAGATGAAGCTGACGACGCCGACATGGACGTGATGAAGAGATTACCAAGTAAGAAGAGCCTGATAAATGCTGACGAACTCAGGATGGCGACGCTGATGAAAAGAAGAGATTAGGATAGACAAAATTACTAAAGGAATATTCCGACTTGAATAAGAAGATACTTCGTGGCATCGCTAGTTTGAATTGAAAACTGCTTATCCATCCTTATTCTATATTTCATTAATGATGCAGTGCTTGTTAAATTTTTGCCCTTCGGTGGTTCATTGGTGCTACGGGGATTGTGTGGATAGGTGAAGTTGCAAGGTAGCGTTAGGCATTGCTTTTATGAGACGTTTATTTTTATGATGGGCGATTCATTCCATGTACATTAGCAATGGCAAACTTCGCTTGAGCACATTGTGTGTGATGAAAGTGACGATGGAGTTAAACTTGACATTCATGATGTAAAAAACACCCGAGGCAAAATAGGATGCTAAAGACAATGAATGTTCAGATGGTGACGAGATGGAACACACCGTGGGTAAATCGCTGCACGATGGCACTAATGACTACGGTAATTCTTCTGACGTAGAAGATGAAGAAGCAGCACATGCTAATGTCGAAGATGACGATCGAGTGGAAGAGGAGTGACAAAGTATGCAAAGGATGATGGTGTCGACGATGACTCGCAAAATAAGCATGCCTCACATAAACATCGAACTGGCCACAGTTGATTGGGCAGATCGAATGCAATACGCGGATTGTGTAGTAACCTCGATCAGACAAAAAGCAAATTTGCGATAAGCACGTATTTTGGCCTGTCGTATACATACGTTTGAGGAGGCGAGTGTTAATACATTCTGCTGACCAGGCTTCCAATTCAAAATGACACCAGTCAAAATTGGCTTATCTTGTTGGTGGCCCTAGCATGTGTTTTTGAAACACGCCATGGCCAGATGGTTGTGGGGAAGGTATAGTAGGGTAAGGAAGCTGGAAGAGTGGAGGTATTCGTGTCGAATCGAAGTCAGCAGTTGAAGTGCAGCATCCAGTGAGGGCGCTGTGTCTGGTGAAGGATTACCGATACACACTGTTAACGAAATTCTGCTTATTCTCCGGTTGCTAGATGCATCTCTCACCGTCTTTAGCAATTTAAGTGTCAGCTGATAGTTCAGCCAATGTAGCGGAAATGCAAAGGCAAGTTAGAAATGCTCACATCTAAGGCATTCTCCCCACCTGCGACTAACATTAACAGACCCATTTGTAAAATCTCCACCCATGTGACCTATGCTCATTGGCTACAGCGGGTTAGATTTCAAGGTTACCAATAGTAGAGATGAGACTGATGTCCCTGTGAAGCTCCTACTGGCTATATTGAATAGAACGCTATTCATTGGTGAACAAAGCCCTAGTCTTGATTGAGAAATTTGCCCAGGTTGTACTCGTACATTCCCCAGTAATTATGAATGCACATTAATACAAAATTCTCAAAATATTTGGCTTAAGAGCAAAGCTAACTGCATAAATGTTGTGGAAACTAACACTAGAGTTGCACCGACAGTAATTCCTTGCTGGTCGATTGTTTATCAAATCTGGAGACTCGCATTATTAGTGGAAGAGGCTAATTAGCTGGAGAGAGCTATGAGTGTAAGGGTTTCAAGGATTATTCTCGTCTAAACCTGGCTGAATTCTGCACCTATATTGCTGATTTTTGTGTGGCAGATTTACGTGCCATAAACAGCAATCGAAAACACGTAATGCAGAAGTGGCTACCGTTGCTGATTTCGCAGCTGGACGCTGCATTTAAATAAGTCACTTTGCAGGTCATCGGGATTAAGCAGAATGCTAAGTTAGTCGCCCTAGCATTTCGGGATGTGGCTGGGGAGTGAAAAGTGACTTGATTAAGTGCGGTATTGTTATCTGGCAGGTCGTTTTTGTTACGTTTGCCCGTCACCAGGACAACACCCACTCATATAGCCAGCACCCAGGTTCCTTGTTTGACGACGTTAAAACCGACCTTCCCACGCTAATGCAGAGATCTTTAATTGCCTCAGTTAAAGGCCAAGTGGTCTGGCAGAGAGTGGACACTTGCACAAGTCAGGGCTGACCAGGACGCGATGGGTGAAAGCGGATTAATACCGAGGGAGCTGTCAGCAGGGCGCCCACTCATGCGCTGACGTGGCGTGCCTAAGGTATTACTGCAAGCAATTAATAAAATCGGCGACCAGCCATCTTTGGGAATTCTGGATTTCCAACAGTTTGCTACAGCGGCAATTCAAGATGTTTAGACAAACAAGACAGCCACGATTTCATGCTACGTGGCTTCTGCAGTCATTTTTCCATGGCGCAAATAGTGTGTTGTTTCTTATAAACTCTATATCATTGTTTACCACTAGGTTTTGCAAGTTCGGCACAGCTAGTAATTTCACAGTTCGCCAAACAAGGTGCATGTCATATTGACAGTCCTTTCACTAAACATGTGTCACTCCTGCGTCCAGTAGGCAGATTATTATCATGTACCCGAAACAGAGATGCCAACTCGTTCCACGAGATCTGCGTCTACCAGTCAGCTAGTTGGTGTACCGCGCTGTGGAACATTGCGTTTGTCATTGAAGACCAGCCTTCGTCTAACATCGAGGTCCCTCATCTTGCCATGTCAGGTAAAGCATTCTGCGGACACCGCCTGCAAACCAAATCGGACTTTCTCAATCCAGGACACACAACTCACGGCCACTTAGGCGGATTGGCTATCGCCCAAAGTTAGGGATGCTAATCTGCGGACATGGATGTTTTATATTCACAACTAGACACGCACAGATTCGTTTCGAATACGGCACTTTAAACAATTTATTCAGAAAATTCGAAATTATGACTGAACTACAAAGGACACAATGCCAAAGAGACGATGACTGATATTTCATCTCAATAATACTTATTGTAATGGTCTCCAATCATGCCCACTACGCTGCACGTTGTCTTTCTCCATCACGCTCATCTCTTCCGAGCCTCTCATCTGGTTCCTTCTCCTTCACTTCCCCCATACTTGCTCCAGTTCTTCATTTTCATCCAAGTGGAGTACACAGATCGTGCATCCAGCAATTTTGATTCCATCCTCGATTACTTCAGCTGTCAGTGTCCTTTGACATAATTTGAAGTCAGCGTGAATCCTGACTTGCTAGACCAAGCTTTCGCAGAACGAAATGCACCAACGTGCCCACAACTAAGCCATTCACAGTCACTTGAAAACACACTTCGCACTTTACTAAAGACCAAGTAATTTATTGGATAATGTTAGTGGAAGGGATGCCTGGGTAGAGAGATCTAGTACACTGGTTGTGCGTTCAAGAGCTTTTAGCATTACCTGTCAAATGGTAATGAAGAGGACAAGTGTTTCTCTTGAGTAAACACTACACCCCATTGGAATGCCACCCGCATCGCTTGAGTTGGAGGGCGCCTCTTGTGCTCGATTCGCACTTTTAGCCTAATGAACAGCAACTGCATCTGAGTGGTCTTACGTAGAAGAGAACTGGTCGCAATTCAGATTCAAGTCCACAACTGACAGAAAGAGATGGTTAAATGTAGTCACATTACACCAGCTACATACCTGGAAGGTGACTGTGCACACCAATCTAGTAAGCTGTATGGTTCATTTGAATTGCTCAAAGAGCATGAAAATGTTTGGCTGCTAACCTCCCAAATTGTGGCCTTTTCTGCAAACCATAACATTCATTGGCTACTTACACTGACAACTTGAGCAGATAATCCAGAGTGGTAGATGGAACTGAATGGCTTGTCAGTTTTGATGTTTAAGCAAATGTTTCGAGAAGGGCAGAAGGCGACTAGCACTTGCTGTCTGTTTTTTCCCACTTTTATTTTCGGCCATTTAACCTGGGTATGAAATCACAACACATTCCTCAGTTGTCAATAGCTTGATGTTCGTCTCGACCACTTGTGAGGCAGGATTGCCCATCCGGCCCAGAATCTCTCAACTGCGAATTCCTAAAGAGTGAGGCAGCCAATTTGACATTGGCAAGGAATGATCCCATTGGCCGCTTTGTTTGATCATCGCTTGAATGGTACAAATACAGCACACGACAGTCGATAAAGTCAGCCTATATTGCTAGAAGTGCTTCATCCCTCAGGCTAATCACAAATAATCCGTTTGCTAATTTCACGCTTAGACGGAGCGTGATAAGCCAAACAGCATGATACATTCATTTGAGAAGCACCTTGACTGCCTGTCTTTCTTTCTTCCTTCGATCAGAACACACATGCTAGTGAAGAGCGACATCATGAGATGATGTGGTTAGAAGCATGCAGGTGAACAAACAAAATTTATGCAAATGTTTGGAAGTGCTGTGTCGTGTGGGGTAGTGGGAACGCAGATGTTGGGCATTTGCGACCTCCTGCCACGTGGTCAAACAACGCATGTGGAGACATGCTGTGAGAGCCTCACCCAAATCGATGTTGAACTCAAAACCAAACGTGCAATCAGGGAGGCCTAGTCACCTTCGCCATGACAATCGAAACCTAATACCACTCATCACTCAGATGATGAAGACTAAAATACGGTAAGCGCAATATCAGTGGTTTACATATATATGGATTATTGAATGTGATTTCAGGTGGAGCAAGACATCTTGTCAATGCGAAATCAATCGAAGTCAAATGGGGCAGACTTACGCTCATCAAACCCTTATCTAGTGTGTCAAATATGGCTAGTGACAAGTAACCGCCTTACCCTGCAGATCTTGGCGCAATCACTGCCAGCGGTGTTGGTCGGGTTTATGAATGTTTGCGCTTCTACGCTTCTCACCATCTTCGAAGTTTCTACGAATGGTAATCATGCTCCAACAACTGGTGGTCCTCACATGATTGCCTACATACAATCCTGTAGGTTCGCTTATTTCATGGGGGTACCTTGAATCCACCCCTCGACAGTACCTCTTCTGTATTACTTTGCCTTACAGGTATCCTCTTCAGCATGAAATTCACGTCTTCGGTTAAGTGGGAAAGTGATTTTCGATGTTGAAGTAACATTGCTTAGTCTAGTCGATGAGGTCCATCAAGGCTCTATGCTAAGTGGCAAAGTGCTAGTTGGCGATGTTCTTATTTTCACCTTGATTGATTGTCGCTACGATTACCTGAACCGTTTCAACTGCAGCGCAACTGACTTGTAAAAAAACGACAAATTTGGTCACGTTGCAACTCACGTGCCGAAACGCCTGAGTAGATAATGCCTACCAAGTATGTTTCGGCACGGTTTTAGTGCAAAGTGCACTCAGGATCATCCATGGAACCACCTAATTTGAAGGAGGTTTCGCATCGTGCAAGCAAACCATACATCTACAAGCTCTTCGGAATTTCAACGTCAAAATAAAAACCAAGTTCACAAAAAGTTCTCGATTTAGGTGGAACAATAGCCAAACTGGCTTTGCATTTACCTGTGCGTCATAACTATGGTGACTGAGTCTGGATCCTCCTATCTGGGTTCAGTATTCCAATTGATATCCTTCAGGCCGTGTAGCCACTTCAATGCGTTTTTCTGCGTTCACACACTCACACACACATGCACATGCCCTGCATATTCAGCGCCTGCGAACCAAGCTCGTTTCAAGCCTGCGACTTTGAATCATCCAGTTTGTGAAGAGCATTAATCACTCATGTGAAAACGAGTGCCAACGAACACAGGTTACTGCGTGCGAAGTTGCAAGTAAATCATGTGGTTGCTGCCCACTAGCACATCTGTGCGCCGTTTCGAGTTGACATGGTGAGACGAATTGGGGTCTAGTGACAGCCAAATGTAGGACCTCACACTTCAATCGCACAGACAGCCCACGTGTAGTTGGTCATTTGTAATTCAATCAAGATGGTCCGACGGCTTGTTGATGTCGTCGAGATGCGAGGGATTGTGGGTCTGTGCCCGACTGGTTAACATAGGAGACGCCAACCCAACAGGAAACGACTCACATCTTTGCAACCACGGTGTCCCTGCTGCTGCGTGATTTTGGCCAGTTGATGCCTTTCCTGGGCGCGACACATGGAACGATACAGACCTTCCAGGGGACACTGATAAACTCTCTCCCTCATCAATATTCCTCTTAGAGCATAACAGTGTCAAGGTGGTTGTCTTTACCTTAACAGCATTGAATCCTTTAAATGAATGGTGACGAATTCGGTCAATGTGCTCAGGATTCAGTTGGAGTGAAACCGCCCAAGCGCTGATTTGCGTTGAGGTAAAGCAGGGTGCAATTTTGCCACAGCGATTTGACTGAAATTAATTGAACACTTTCGTGTACTTTCAAACGCCAATGGCTCAATGGATTTGCCCAGTTGCAACAAGCACTCACTGCAGTTGAACCGCAGTTTGTTTTGTTCGTGCTGACATGTACTGTGGGCTTATAATCACTTGATGCTTTGTATAACTCAAGGCGTGGAAATGAACTATTTCAAACATTTCGGTAAAGCAGTTGGCCAAAACAACTGAAACTACTTGAGTTCACGTCGTGAATGTGCACATTTTTCATCGTCATCATCGGCAACAACAACAACAACTATGCTCGCAATTGGAGACACTTGAAGTGAAAGGTCAGGTGGATGTCCAGATATGTTCCTTTGTACATGCCAGGGTGATCTGTGATAGTTAAGATGGGCAAATAACACAGGGTGGTGAATGTTTAGCGCAAACAACGATTTGACGTGACAGTAATGTTGTGATTACGTGATTGAAGCTGACTGAACAGACGTCACATATTACAGTATTAATTTGCTTGTCTTGTGGAATGCTGACATCCCCTTCAGTGCTGCTTACAGAAGCCTCACTTTACATCCCAACGTCCTTGTTTGCTGAGTGGCATTTCACTGTAGCGTAGCGCCGTCAGGAGGAAAGCTAATGCAATTTTGATTGACAAAGTGTGCACATTTTGCACGCAGCGTGAGTGTCTTACAGATAGACTCCGCAATCCCTTTTTTTTAAACGGAAGAAGCTTCAAAGCAATAGTTACATCTGTGATCCTCCCACCGGACACATTACAGCACACTCATTGTTTGCGGCACTTCAACTGTTGGCACATATTCGCATGCCTCTTGATCTGTGCCCATTTCTGAACTGCTATATATATGCACCTGCTTGTTGACTGATACGAGAAACAGACATGTGACCTTACATGGGGAACACACATTTTGGTTGGCTTATGACTCCTCAATTGAGCCTAAATCTGGCTAATAAGCCACGTTGAATTAATCTGAGTAATGACAACATTCTTGCTACTTTTAATGTCTTTACTTGCAGTCGTGGGTCGCAGTTTCACCGTCTTACTAATTAAGTTTATGAACCGCTGAACAGAACACCAAACAAGGAATCCTTGTGAGTTGTGGCTATGAAAATATTTTATGCCAATTATTAGAACACCAAACGACAAGTCTACGTGAGTAATAAAATCTCTCAGAATAGGGGAGTTTACACTGAAAACTGATAAACAGACTTGTCGTTCGAAACACGAGAAGTGGCACAATATCATATCAGAAGATGGAGAAGATCAAATTCGTCGTATTCTATATTTGGTGCACATGTATTGACCTAAAAATATATACAAATCCCTTCATGCACCTAATAGTTTGGTCCTCATGCTTAGTCTGCAGGAACTTGATTCCAGACGTCCACAGTGTGGCAATCGTCTGAACGCACTGCCTGATAAGGTCATTTACTGCCGACGAGAGAGCCGACCTTCTGAACTTGGCTCTTCTTTCACAGCCTCTTCTTCACCGACGGTTCTACCTCCGCGGGAGTCGTGACAACTCTTTACGCATCACGCAAATGATGATAGCAGGTAACAGTCGTTCTTGTCATCTCTTCCCCATGTGATCAAGTCATGTCACAGCACTGTGAAAACGAAACACAGACAGTAGCCTCACAGCGAAATATGCTGACTGTGCCAGGGGTTTCTTAACCCAGATAGAACCCACATTTCGCGTTTTATACACGTAAAATACTGTTATTCTCCTATCAAAAGTGCTGTGACAGAGATCGTGACCAAACTGTGTTTCAGTTGTGACTCTCTTGTGGCGAGCGGCAAGCGAGCAGAGTTAGCAAGCGTGAGCGAACACGATTCAATCGATTTACGTGAATACGCTATAGTGGACAGACAGCCACCCACTGTACTAATGACTCACTCCTTTTGCCATTGGCTCCTGCTACGCACGGGTACTTATGCGCACATAAACCTACTTGGCTGGAGTGACACTAATAAACGGTCGTGTTCTCTGTCCCCCTTTCTGCCACTCTTCTAGGGTTGTTAACTATTAACTAGAGGGTTGTAAAGTCGTGCGAAACTCCACCACTACACCCTATTCACAACGAAATCTGTGATAGAGGCGACTAAGATTAGCGACCCTCGTTCTGACAGTTGTAGAGTATATGCTTACAATCACCCACACTCTGTTCATGCCAACGCCAAAATGGTGCCGCTCTTGTTGATCAGCTTAAAGTGCACCTAAGGCACAAGGAGCAATTTGGTGCCCATTAAGGTAAATAATTTTGTATGCTTACTCAATAGCGCAACACTTGACGCTTTGATCGGCATTTGAACGGTGGTGCCAAATGCTCTTGAGAACACACCCGATGCACCAGGACCAAAAGAACATGGAGGTGTGAGTTGTAGTGATTTCGACCAAGACACGAAATAGGCATTTTGCAAATACATGCCTTCAAAGTGTCTACTAATTGGCCAGAATGTCACGTCACGTCACGTCACGCTGGAGGGTAGATAGATACGGAATAAAGCTACCTTTCAAAGCTTCTGCATTAGGAGAATAATTCGAAATACCGCCATGGATGGAGCTAGTGAGGTCGAGTGTTGTCGTCAGACTCCGCTCTCTGTTCGCTGATATCCGTAAACAAGTGCTCCACATCACTCAAACTATTCACGACTGCATTGCAGGCTTGATTTCGTGTGACACATGACGCAGATTCTTTAAAATACAGATTGATTTAGTTGTAAAATTGACTGTAAAAGTATTTCGGTAATTGCTAGTTAATGATGCATTTTTGAAAGAGCAATCCCTAGATAAATGTGCATGCTTCAAATGGCTTCATAACTTTGGCATCAACTGTGCAATAAAGCAAATGCAGGAATGGCTAAAATAGTGTCTACACCAAAGCAAGCTCGATTCGGGCCTTTCTCGTTTCAAGGTCATTTCATTGTCATATTTTCAAAATCGCGCACATTCAATTCTACTACTTACTGAGTACGAGATTACGGATTGTTATTAGCCTGTGATAATTGTTAAATGGTTGTTGCATGAATTGCACGAGAGAAAGGCGATCGCGAAACGGAAGGCAAGCATGTCCGACAAGCGTTACACAGACAAAGGAATGACTTGGCCTGTCTTCCGAGTGAGTTGGAAGTTGGACATGCTTAAGTGGTATGCAACACGTGTTAGATGTCAATGTGTGTGTTTAGGCTTTTGCTGTACAACGGACGCCTGAGTCACATTTTCCCACATTCCGCATTGGCGCCTGCTCTGGAATATGGCAAAATGGCTTTCTGTAATCTTAAGTAATTTTACAAAGTCCTAGCATTTCAAATAATATGAAGGTTGAATGCATACAAACCGCATTACAACCGGTTTTGGAGAATGGTACCTCCGCCTTTGAGCCCACCTATCTGCTGAGACCAAAAAACACTCAAAAGCGTCCGGTAGAACAAGACCACAGCAAGTGGCCCATGGAAACCGCAACACGGCTTCTTGTGTAATATTCACATATATATGAAGGCCAAGCTTTAAGTAATCGCATTGCATTGTCTTCTTCATTCACGAAACTCCGAGGGTGAATTCCTTCCCATAGCCCATTCTCGTGTTCTATTCATTAAAATGACACGCGGCAAGCGTTGAGAGTGACTGTGATAAAATCTGCTTCCATTTCACTCTAGCGAAATGAAGTGATTGTGTTCTTAGCCATCGAAATCAATTACAACCTTGGTTGAACGCATTGCCTCATTTAAAATTCACATCAAGGTTGTGCATGAAAGTACTTCCCAGACTGATGTTAATCCAACTATTATTGCCCAGTAGTAAATTGTTGAAATGACCTCCGATGCATCAAACAGGCGATGACCACGACTCCAACAGACTAAACTGTCCAAATCCGGTGAAATGAAAGTACACGATCGGCAGAAATTAAGAGCCTCTCTACACTTGACAGAAGAGGTCACCGCGAACACAAGAGGTGCTACCCCACGAACACACCTAGATGATACTTGAGAGTGCAAGCGGCAAAGCGATTACAAAGGCATGTGCTTGACATCAGCCATGGTGGCATCTCTTGACAAGGTGCCGCCCAATGCACCTCGAGTGAAACTGGCGTATAAAAGCAGACCGTAGTAGCCTCGCAGATCAGCACGTCACCATGAAGTCAAGTTTCTTGTGCGTCCTTATAGCCTTCGCCTGCCTGCTGGCTGGGAATTCATCTACGGCTAGCGTAATGCATGAAGTACACGGCCAAGGTCGTGGTTATTGGAATGCCGATGAAGTGGACAATCATGAAACTGACGTTTTACCAGGCACTGGTGATTTTGAGATCTTGAACACTAGGCAAAGTGCAATTGGCAAAAAAGCATCTGAGGGATAGGGCAATTCCGTCCCATTTTGACAAGAAGCAGTTCCCGATAGAGGCGATAAATCCATCAGATTTTGAAAAGGGGTTCCAGGAAGAGGAGATAATCCCATCCCATTTTGACAAGAAGCAGTTCCCGATAGAGGCGATAAATCCATCAGATTTTGAAAAGGGGTTCCAGGAAGAGGAGATTATCCCATCCCAATTTGACGAGAAGAAGTTCCACAAAAAGCAGGTATTCCGTCCACCAAGATCTGTTTAATGAACCAAGCGTTGGCGCCTTCTTCCGGTCGCCCTTTGATTTCATACGAATACAAGTCAAACATTCGATTTCCTGTTGAACACTTTTTAAACAGCTTGCATTGGTCAAATTTTCCGTAGTGTAGTTTCGTATTTCGTAATACTCATAAACTTTGCCAAATGCTTGTTGTTTGCTTTTTTCTACATTCCGCAATACTATGAGTGGGAATCAATCCAATGGGTCCTAATCTACTCTGGTCGTGATTTGCAAATGCTATTGTTTTCAAAAGTGGGTATCCAATAATAATTCTTGTGGCTGCACAACTTACACTAAATGTAAACAAGTAAGCATTCGGTCCACATTACATCAAGTCTTGTGAAATTAGTGCCAGTACTCCGAATTCACCCTGTGTTTCCCAAAGCTGTCTCACAAATCCATTCAAATCGATAACGGACATTGCCATGATTTCAATGCAGCAGATGATCAATATTGTCTCTCTCCACTGCTATTCCAATCAATATTTACTGTAGTTAGATTTCTGTTTGCTGACAAAAGACTGTAAGCAGGCGTTGTGTGAAAAATTGTACTTCAGTTTTATTACGCAGCTACACTGAGCTAGTCCTCCCCGGTTGGAAATATGTTACACTCATCTTCCGAACAAAACGGCATGGTTGGAAAATCAAGGGCTTTCACAAGAAGGTGTAGGTAGTGCTGATTGAGGTCGCATATCTGCAGATTAGTTTTAATTGCGAAGAATAGACTAACCTGTGCTCACATCGACGAAGCAATGCAACTGACTGTAAGCTCCGATCTTCATTCACCACTCCAAGTGCCTTGATGCGGGTCCCGCTAAACTCAAATTTAGTGTTGAGTTTCGTTCCACATGTGCAAGTTGAGTTAGTTGAGCACCCGTTTTCTGACATATTCATAGTGTTCAAACAGGCCGCATTTGTGCAATTCATTTGAAGTTGACAGCTCAATGGGCGGCTAGGAAACAAGGAATGGGTTAGGGACTGTTTTTCAGTGTGCGTTGGATGGACAAAGGACATGATGGCTCCTGAACCAATCAGGAATTGCATACCAATTGACGTGTCAAATAAGAAAAGAAGGCGGTTTAAGTACCCATTGGCAGCAGACACCAATACTATCGGACATTCTCGTTTCCGGCTATGTGGGCGAGTCTGAAGCTGCTTACCTAGACGGTGCCTACATTGTCGGGCCTCCCCCCACCCGAAGGTTTTGTGGGACCAAAAATAGACGTACTAGAGAAGAGGACCTATGACTAGACCTCAAGCAAATACACTTTAAACTACTAGTTATATCCTCTGCCTCAGGTAGGTCTGAATGACGCGGCATCAATTGCCGTCTCAGTCTTGACTAGGGTGTCTTTCATTTCAGAGAGGTCCTGGAACAGTATATTCAGACGAAGGAATATTTCATTGTTTATAAGATGCAGTGTCAATTTTGGAGACATGTGTGGATTCGGTCGGTCTGCGGTGTCTGCCAATTGCTCAAGAGTTGGATCTTCGACAAATGGGGCCATGATTGGTTGGACGGTATTTTGGTAGTCGTTGGAAGAAGACGCTCTCTGGAAGTCGCCATTCAAAGTGTCATCGTTAGAGGTTTGTCGCATTCTCCGCAGAATCGGGGTCGGCTTTAGGTCTCCTAACTCATCACGAGACATGAGCTGTTCTTCGCGTTTGAATGTCAAGAGCTGCATACGTTTGATGAATTGCGATTGTAGGTGGTCAGGGAATGCTTCCATGTCGGGGTGGAGCAGTACATCCGACGTTTCTGATTAAGAAGGACAGCGGCCAGCCTCTGTCTGTGTTGTTCCACTTTCACATGATTTAACACTTTGGTGATGTGTGAGTTGACAGAACAGGCTTTTATAAAAAACTGCACGCTCTCGTCTTTAACTAAGACATGCACGATCGTCCTTTCATCACTCACCATCACAAATCATATCTTTAATGGGAATCAAGTATTTAGAACTGAATGTTAGCCTGAGGTCTGCTTCAGTCGAGGTGCCTTGTACATTGGTGTGTGTGTTCAAGGGCTTCTGGCATGGCCGGTCAATTCGCAATAAAAGGAACATGGCAACCTAATTATTAAAGTGACATCTGACTACCAATGTCGAGGTAGAAGTCACCTCCTGTTCTCCAGTTGTACTTTTAGCCCAATCAACGGGAGAAACACCCAGTTGGCGTTGAAGTGAATAGACGCCTGGTTGTGGGTGAGGACCTGGTCGGTCATTTGTAAGTAATAGTAAGCTAAACGTGGCACCTCTCAAATATCAAAAGGCAAATGTCAAAGCATTGGCAGAGTTCTAGTGTGTTTAATTGTGACCACTTGCGTCCTTACGAATAACCTTTTTCTGGATTCACCATCATTTCTGTGCGGTCTTAGCATGAGCCGTAAATATTGCAATGAGGTGTGCTTCAGTGCAATCACATAGTTATCCAGGGGAACGAATGAACGCATACAGGACAGTTTGTATTCACGGGCATTGCAAATTAAACACGTTTAAGCACTTTGCAGCAAATAAGGTTGCTGAGAATTAATGTGGTGAAATGTGTCAATGGTTGAGGCGCCGCATCCAATGATATCACCCTAAGGCCTTTTGTAAGGGAATCGCAGATGCACGCTAATTAGGTGCTCTTTCCACGTGGTCAAACAATGCATGTGGAGGAGTGCTGTGAACACCTCACCCACCTCCAAGCAGAACATTCAAATTCGACTAATCGAATAGGCATCACCACTTGCACTATGACAACGCAACACCTAACGCTACTCAAAAGACGGAGCAAAAGCCTGATCATTTTAAAGTACTACTTCTTCCACCTGCATCCATCGTATTCCCGTGACAGGGCCCCTACTACATGATCATCTGTTCCGTTCTCTGCAAAACAATTGGAAAGGCAAGAAATCTGGTTTTAGGGAAGAAGTCATACATTACCAAGCAACTTGATTTAAGGAGAAACCGCGAAGATTTTGCGTTCGAATATTGGGACATGGTTTTAGTATATGATGGAGCTTACTCTAACGATTTTTAAATGTATTTTATTTTTGAAACAGTGAAGTTATTGGTTTGATCTCAAGACAAGAACATGAAATTAACAGCCCGTAACAGCCAGAGGACAAAGATAAGATAGGCGTTGCACCAGCCTAGTGTCTGTGTGACGATGAGTGTAGGTGCGTACCAGGCAACTGATACCACTGGTCAATGAAAAATAGGGATGAGACATTGGACAAAATAATTCTCGACGCAAACGTCACTCATGCCCGACCACTGACAGTCGTAGGGGCTGTCCAGAAAGAGAGCTAATCAGTTGCCAGACAGAGATGATTGCATTTCTGTTTGCCGGAAAGCATTTGACGTACGAATGCAGCAGAACTGTGTCCTGAGTAAAAGTGAAAGGAGATACCGGAATAGAGATGTCAAGGAAGAAGTGGAATAAGCAAAACTAGTTGATGGATGTCAGCATAATAAGCAAACAAAGAGGCATGGAAGTGAGAAAAGCAGAATCGACGCCAACGTTTGAAGTGCCGCATCCAATGAAAGTGCTTTTTCGCGCCAGGTGAACATGCCCACCATGTTCATTTCTCGTGGCCAAAGAAGACTTGTGGAACAGTGGTGTGAACACCTCACCAAACTCAAACCTGAGCTACGAAAGGCATGTAAATATTTGGTCGGACGAAAAGGCATCGTCCTCGTCGCCATGACAACACTACACCACTTGTCAATGCGTAGATATTGTGACACCTTCGTAGGCTACAATGGGGCAACCTACAGTATCACTAGTCTTGTTACACATACCTTAACCAATCACACTTTTATCTGTTTCGTTCTCTGCAGAATAGGTTGAATTGCTGACATTCTCATTGTGTGGACGAATTCAAATGACACCAATAACTGCTGTTAACTCAGCGTTTGTGCTCGCCCCTTAAGAGTCGATTTTATATTTGTACAACCAATCACGTTCACCATGCATTTTCAAAGCACTCCTTTCAGGGATCAGTCACAGTGGCGTTCGATCGGTACACACACAAACACACTGCTATTTGCTATGCATTTTCAATAGTCGTACACTCTGCCGGCTTTAGTTGGGTACACACATTGTTTTATCACGAGTTAGAGTTTGAATTTTACTACTACCCTTCGTTATTCGCATATCAAAATTATGTCATGAATCGCTCTAAGCCTAGACGTATTTCTTGTTTTTCGAGTTAATGAGTCTGTATGGAAAGCATTTGCGCAATGATAATTAACTAGCCCATATTCAAACCTCTAACACAACTAATCTGCTCAAGTGCAGGTGGGCTTGAAAGTGCACGATCAGTAGAAATTGAGAGCCTCTCAACATCTGACGAATAAGGCCACCGTGATTAGGGAATGCAATTTGAATTCAACGCGTTTGGCGATGATACTTGAGAGTGCAACTTGCACAGAAATCACAAGGCCCCCTGGTGGTGCAGCATAGCACGAAGCCACTCAATGAACACATATGCTGTTGGGGTATACGAGCGGATAGCTGTGGTCGCACAGATCACCATTCCAGGATCAAGTCGTTCCCCCTGTGTCTACTTCTTGCTCTCGTGTGCCTGTTAGCTGTGAATTCAGCCACGGCCAGCATAATGCGCAGACAGGTGCTGATGAAGAGTATGCCAGAGATAAAGAGCATGGTGTACGATAATGAAGTGTTACTAGAACAAGAGGTGCTGGATTTATGAGATTCCTAAAGTGGATTTCACACACTGAAACGACAGCTGCAGATTCTACCACGGTTAAGACTGGTGTCATCATAATTCATGCCAAAGGTGTGGAGCAAATTTTGATTAAATGACTGTCGAATTCACGATATACTTGACTGGTTTGTTCGTTTGTTTGAAAGTGAAACTATGCCAATGATTGCAGGAGATGCGCTACAGTGCATGCATATTTGAACAAGAGTTTTTAAACTCTTTAAATTGACGCGTTTTCGTTTTTGTTTTTACTTGGTGCATTCTCGCTAGACGGGATGCGTCCAATTTCTCCTTGACATTCGCTGGTATGTGCTTTCTCCAACAATGGAGGTGGCTGTAGTGATAATACACTTGACCTTCAGCACACTTTAAGTAATTTGACTTTACAAAACAGTTTGTTAAAATTTTGCCAAGCTCTTTTACCATTGAGAGCTAGGTCCTGTTAAGGCATCAGCAAGAAGCCACTTGAGGTGTCCACAATGTAGCGACAATCCGAAGGACTGTTAAAGTAGTTGAGCTGGCAACCGGAAAACAGCAAGACTGTAGCAATAGGAAAATGAGCTGACACTGATCATGCTTAAAAACATTGTCGTTTGCAGATTTCGAACTGCATTTGACTCCAAGTCAGACATAGTTTGGCCAACCCAGCATTTGTCTGAGGATGGTTCTTTAATACTTGCTCCATTAATCTGTAATTGGCGAAATATATGGCGAGTTGTCAAATCGGTTTATCTTCATGGTTACGTATTCCGTTGTTTATCTAACACAGTTTACAGATTACCAAACGCTGTTTTCGACAGGACGTCGATCGTGTCATGTGGTCATGCATTGGCGCAGTAGAGCACGTTATGTATATACGTCGACTAATTAACAGATAGCTCCACCTGATGGATTGTCAGCAGCACATCAATATATGCTGACTAGCGTGGTGCTCTCATAACGCGCAGACAGCTCAGCTTCAATGATCACTTATTCACATTAACAGTCACTACGGCCAACCCGTGCCTATGATGTGCAACTCTGACAGGATTTAACACTCACAGGGGGAAACTGACATGCCAGACCAAGCTTTCGCTGAACGAAGTACACTCTACTGCCCACAACTGAGCCATGCACAGTCACCTAAATACACAATTCGTATTGTAAGTAAGCCCCAAGTAAGTTATTAGTCAATGTTAGTGGAAGGGTTGCCTTGGTGGAGAGATCTAGTGCACTGGGTGTGCGTTCAAGAGCTTTTAGCACTGCATGTCAAGTGCTCGTAATAATAAGGGCAAATGTTTCTCTTGAGTAAACACTAAACCCCATTGGAATGCCACCTGCACCGCCTGCGTTGGAGGGCGCCTCTTGTTCTCCGTTTGTGCTTTTAGCCTAATAAGCAGCAACAGTATCTGGGTAGTCATACGTTGAAGAAAAGCTGGATTAAGGAACACAAACTGGTGGAAGTTCAGCTTTAGGACCACAACTAACAAACTGCAGTACGTAATGTCATTTGCCGGTTCTAGAAATGCATCTCTTCGTATCTTCGTATCAGGTATTTTGGACCTCACCAATCAGCGGATTATCGATAAATTGCCAAAGTGAAGCATTTCTAGAAGCGATCAAGTGGTAATGCTGAGAGGCGGTAAATGACACTACGTACTGCAGTTTGTTCATTTGTTCACAGTATTCCGAATTGCATGCCCTTCGTACAAAGGATGTAAAGTCGTTGTTAGTGGAAAGTGATTAAGATATGGCCGACATCTCTAAATTCACTGATTCCTTTTAATGACCTACCCCAATTACGCCCATTTCCATCTTGTGTGTAGACTTTGGTTTTTGGGGATCGATGTAACGACCTTGTAGACCTTGGTTTCGGACATCTGTTAGAGATGCCCATGAGAATAAATAGACCCGTACGTTTTCGTTTGCTTCCAGTATAACTTTGTGAATGCAATGAATCGCCCATCACAATAATCAACTTTCCATGAAAACAACACCAGATGCTAAATCACAACCCCACCTTTCCCCAAAATCCCTGTAACGCCAGTAAACCACCAGGAGGCAAAATTTATCAGAACACTAATTTATTTGAAATGTAGCAGGCGGAAATTAGTGAAATGGAGAATAACGATGGATAAGCAACTTTTAATTCACATTAGGAACCCCCCCAGTATATCTTCTTACTCAATCCGTCAACTTCATCTCGTACTTCATGTTCACCGAGACGTCTCTTCGCTTGTCTCTCCATCTTGTTCCTGCTATTCTCCTCTATTCTCCCCAGCATGCTTATTAAGGCCTCGTCAACATTCATTATGCCGTTCTCCGGTATTCTTACCATCATTTCGAAAAAGGCTTTGTCGCTCAAAATTCTCGCTTCATTTATCCTCATTTGTCTCTTCATCACGTCCCTGTTGTAGTTATCATCTTGATCGTCATCATTCATCATGCTCTTCTTCCCTGGTGTTCTTTTCATAATGACCATGGAGTCGGTTACATGTCCATCGTCACTATTCATTATGCTTTTCTCCGGCATTCTCTTCATCATCATTTCGATGTCGACGTCGATATCTTCTTCGTCATCAATCATTATGCCTTCATCGTTTTCATCGATGTCACTCGGCAGCAGTGTTTGTCTGCGCATTATGCTGGCAGTAGCTGAATTCACAGCCAACAGGCAGACGAGAGCGAGAAGTAGACACATAATGAACGACTTCATCCTGGAATGGAGATCTATGATACGACTGCCATCCACTTTTATACCCTATCAGCATATCCGTTCATTCAGTGGCTTCGTGTCACGCTGTAACACCAACGTGGGTGTCAATCAGAGGGCCTTGTGATTTCTAGGCAGCTTGCACTCTCAAGTATCATCGAGATGAGTGATGCGCAGCTCACCAAACACGTTGCCCTCAAAGTGCACGGCTCATTCACACTGGCCTCATCCGTCAAGAGTTGAGAAGCTCTTGATTTCTGCTGATCAGGTACTTTCACGTGCAACTGACTTGACAGATTGGAGAGATGAGAGGCGATATTTCCTCTTTCACTTCCTCTAACCGCCTCCGTGCATTCCAAATTTGTCATTTATTGTTTCATTTGTGTCCTTCTACACAATGAGGATAAATGCAGTTCACTTCAAACGTTGGTGTAGATTCTGCTTTTCTCACTTTCATGCCTCTAACTTCTTTTGCTAATTATGCTGCTATCTATTTACCAGGTTCACTTCACCTTCTTTTTCTTCTTTGACATCTCTATTCTGGTATCGCCTTTCACTTTACCCAGGAAACGTGTCCTTGGGTTTGTGTTAGCATAGTCGATGACTAATTCCTACTGCAATCGTACGTCAAATGCTTTCCGGCAAACAGGAATGCAATTATCTCGTTTACAAACCCGGAATTACAGCCGACGAAGATCACAGAAATGGCATATAAAATCAATACACGGCTTTGCAGTGTCTTTTGAGTGGCGTTAGGGGTTGCGTTGTCATAGTGGCAGTGATGATGCCTACTTGAATGGTCGAATTTGAATGTTTTGCTTGGAGTTGGGTAAGGTGTTCACAGCACTCCTCCACATGCATTGTTTGGCCACGTGGAAGGAGCTCGTAATTAGCGTGCACCTGCGCTCTTCCTACCAAACACTGTAGGGCGACGCCTTGACCATTGACACATTCCACCACATTAATTCTCAGCAACCTTATTTGCTGCAAAGTGCTTAAACGTGTTTAATTTGCAATGCCCGTGAATACAAACT